CTTTACCTGCGCTATTCTCGTATCCAGTAAAAATCCTCGCCCGGCCACGGTAACCTAATCTCAGGGCCCAGGCAGAGGAGGGGGTAGTGAGGCTGGCTCAGTGGAGAGGGAGGTGTGTACGCGCCAGAAGAGGGTTCTCTGCTTTGCCCCTCCTCTCTCGATGGGGAAAGGAATTGGGACGCGGTTCGGGCGATCGAGGTGCGGACCCAGGGCTCAGGAGGAAGGAGACTGGTTTCCACGTCCCTGTCCTCTCTGCCTTTCTCCCTCCAACTGGCATTGGGGACGCGCACGGTGGCCGCAGCCCAGACGCGTGCTGCCAGCAGGCGCAGCGGTCCCGGGGGCGCCCTGCGGGGCTAGCGAGGCCCAGAACAGGTCTCCCCTGTTGAGGAGCAGGACCTGGTCGCTGTCGCCCCGCTTTTGACTTGCCCCAGTATAACTCCCACACCTAAGACAGAACCGGCGAGGAAGGGAGCCGGCACTTAACTCATCTTCCCTCCCGGGCCAGCCTCTTCTTCCAGAGCGCCCTGGTCCCGGCCGCAGCCGGCGCGTGGAATCGAATTAAACGCCTCTTGGTGGTTATTGTCTCTGGCTAATTGCTCCAACAATGGCCACTATTAAAATGGAGACAACCAATTAAAGGCCCCGCCGGGCCGCGCTCGGCTGCCGGCGACGAACTGGCCGCCTGAGGTTTGCAGACCGCCCGGCCGGGAACCGGATTGGTGCGGGGTGCCGGCGCCGGCCTCGGCACCTCTGGCCTCCACTTCCTCCCCAGACGCACAGCGACCGCGGCCGGTTCACACCATTTTTATTGACCGATCGCAGCCAAGGAAGATTGATCGAGCTGGAATGGGAAGGGATTCCTCCTCCCCCAGCCCCGGCTCGCCAGGGCCTCGGAGTCGCGCTCCAATTTCTGGCCTTCCCCGCCCCCAGCCCCGCAGGTTCCGGCTTCATTTCTGTCTTGAACGGCGCGGCCGGGTCCGCCCAGGCCGGCGCCGGGGCTCCGGGGGGAGGGACGCGGCGGCGCGGCCCGGCTTCGCTTCTTTCTCCCGCCTGCAAATATTTGCTGCCTCGCTGGAAATCCGACTATTTCGCGCGCGCTCCGCTTGCAAAGTCCTTAAGTAAACACGCTCAAATGACCGCCCCAGGCGGCCCGAGGCACGCTCACTCCCCCTGCGCGGGATTAGTAACTTTATGACTCCGACCCCGAGGCTCGGCTTTACTGTTTCCCCTCGGCGGGCAGCGCGCGGGCACCTCGGCCCCGCGGAGCTCGCCTGGACGCGCCCGTCGCCAGGCTCGGGTGGGTGACGCTGGCCGCGTGGATCTCCGCTGGCTGGGTCCTGCGACCCCAGGGGTGAGCCTAGGGGGCACGCTCTTCCCCTCTGCGCCGCGAGCTCCGGTTCCTTTGCGGGACTGGGTTCCCCACCTCCATCCGGACAGAGTCTCTGCGCTCCCGGGAGGGCGGGTGGGAGGGACCTGAACGTGGGCATGTGTTTGGGGGGGTGTGTGGGTCCCAGCTTACCCCAACCAAGGACAGAAAGTAAGGCTCCATTTCTTACCCTTTCCCCAAGAGGGCACACACACCCCGCTCAACTTGACGCCTAAAGCAGCCGCCTCGAGGCCTGGCGTTTCAAATAGGCCGGACTGGCTCCCGCCGCTCCACGCAAGGCACCCGACCTGGCTCCGGGGAGGGGCAAGGGCGGTGGCTGCGCCGCCGCCTGCTCGGCTCCAGGATGCTTGCTCCCAGGGTCCCAGGCTTCCAGGCCATTCTCCAGCCCCTTACCCTGATGAGGGAGGCCTCGCGCCCTACAGGAGCCCCGGGCTCTGCAGCAGCGGCGGCGACAGCGGCATCCTCCTCCTCGGTCTCCTCCTCGCTTCCTCCACCGGAGCTCCACCGGCTGCTGCCGGGGAGGAGGGGGGACTCGCTAGGCTAGGCCGGGGCCGGGGTGCCTGGGGGGCAGGGGGCGTCAGGTCTGCAGGAGGGCGCTGAGGTGTCTCGGCAGGAGGCCAGGATCGGCTTAGCGGGCTACGGCAAAGGGGGAATCAGGACCACCTTTCCCCCCTTACCCTGGCCTCGAGCCCCCTCCCCTCCCCTCCCCTCCCCTCCCCCGCACGCCCGCCCTCGGAGGAGGAAGCCCGGCCTGCATTTGCCGGCGAGGCGGGCCAGGCCGGCGCCTGGCCTGGCCCAGACCCCCGCAGCCCGGCTCTCCGCCTCAGGCCACGCGCCGCAGCCTCTCTCCGGCCTCGCTCCCTTCCCCCTTCCTTCCCGGTGGGTCCCGGGGCCGACCTCGACCCTCCCTCCTGGGTATCCCCCTCCTCTCCTTTTCCCTTCCCCCCTGGTCTGCGCTCCTGGCTCTGGGGCTGGGCCCGTGACGTCAAACCCAGTGTGGCGTCGGCGAGACTGGCCGGCGCGGGCCATCAAAAGAGCAACGTCCTCTTTCCCAATTACCCACTGTCAGTCCGGGAACAGGGGCGGACCGGCTGGGAATTACATGTTAAATACCCCCTACAGGCTGGCTCCATTACACCGGGCATCCAGCCGCAGCCCCCCACTCCTCAATGCCAGCTCCAAACCACTCAGACCCAGAGGGGCCTTCCAGATCTTTTATTTTTCCAAGGTGGTGGTGGTGGGCTCTCCATCCCAGCGCAGCCGGACTCGGTGCTTGTGATTTAATTAAAACGAGTAATGCCCCGTCCCCCGCCCCCGAAGTTGTGCGCCTTATCGGAGAGGCGCCGCTACACCGGAAGGCCTCCTTCTCAAATATTTTCTCTTTGTCTTTTAAAATCGTTCTTAGCCTCAGAAGTTGACATTTTCAAGTCCTGGCGTCAGCAGCTTTTCCCTCCCGAGGATGGCTCCCTTTTATCCTTTCCCTGGCTTCCAGGTCTCCGCGTAGAGGACCGAGGAGCTCCATTTGAGATTTTCCTCGTGGCTTTGCACTGGGGTCCGGCCAGCGTCTCCTCGTCCTACACTGAGGCGCGGAGAAGCCCTTTTCATTTTTTCTCTCTGCTTCGGCCCTTCATTTTAATCTCGGGTTTTTTTTTTTTTTTTTTAGCAAAAACGTGTGTGCGTTGGTCTGTCCTTGTTTATGGAGCGGTTTCCGGTGAATGTTGGACAGAAACTAAATAATTAAAAGGTTTGGAGAGCGCCCTGAGCGGGGGAGACTGGCAGCTTGATTGGCCCTAGAGCAAAGTGGTTAGAGTGAATGGAAAATCGATGCGACTTTACTGGGCCGCCCTAATAAACCGGGACTAAGTGGGCTCAGGAGAAACAACGGGGGTGTGCGTGTTTAATTTAGGGATCTTCTTCCTGTTTCGTATCTAGAAACTCAACCCTGAATCCTAGCAAACATCAGGTTTAAGACGACGGAGACTCAAGAAAGGCTCCAAATCCAAGGTCGAGAGGACCCAGGTTTCCACCACTTCTTCCAAATAAATTTTACTAATCTTTCTACAAGGATTGCGTATTAAAGCAAGACAGCCTCTCCACGCCGAATTAAGGCTGAATGTTGACGTTTTTCCGTCACCGCATGAAAGGAATCCTCTAGAACTTACTTTTAGGGACAGTCTCTTCTATCCCGAATTTTTGTATTTGTAGGGAATTTTATGGAGTAGAGGGGCGAAGAGGGAATAATGTCTTCAATTCAAATAAAACCCCAAATCACGCTCTTAGGACCGTCGGTGGGAAAGCCTGCGGGAGAACCCGCACTCTGTCCTGGCACACATCGCCCTGGGGTGAGCAGGGTGGAATCTGAGTCTCCTTTTCCCGCCTGACCCCGGCTCGCCCCGGCCGCCTTTTCGGGCCGGCGGCTGCAGGAGCCTCGGCGCCGCTAGGGGATGCAGTGGCTCAAAGGACCAGGGAGGCCGAGGAGGTTGGAGCCCGCGGGGCCGGCCAATCGCGGCCCGGCCGCAGCCTCGCCCGCTGATTGGCCCCTTCGCGGCCCCGCCCCCTCTCCGCCCCTCTCCGCCCCTCCCGGCCCCTCTCGGCCCCTCTCGGCCCCTCTCCGCTCCTCTCCGGGGCGCCTCGGGGCCGCGCTCCCTCCGCCCGGGGCTGCGGGGCCGGCAGAGCGAGTCCGGGGGAGCTGCGGAGCCCGCGGAGAGTCGCCGCTGTCCTGCCCGGCGGCCGGGGTGGGGGTCGGTGGAGGGGGCTGGTGTCCTCGGCTGGGGAAAAACGCCGGGAGCCGGAGTAAGTGGGGCTCCGGGCGGGGAGACGGAAAAGTTGGGAAACTGGAGTGTAGACCGATTTCTTTCCAACCCTCTCACTGTACTGGGGGAACTAGTCAGAGTCTCTCTCTCCCCTCGTCTCCTTTTCATCCATCACGATTGTCATCCTAGTCAAAAGCACACATCGATTACCAATATTAGGTCTGGAAAGGACAGCTGAAACTTTCATTCGGGCTTGTTAGCGCCAAAGGCTGGGAAAAATGTTGACAGTGACCCTCAAAGTAACACGGACGTTTCAATCAAATCCTTTTGCCCGATTCCTCAATCTCTTAGGCAGTTCTCTCGAGAGGCAAATCTCAGCGGCCTTTGATATTAAAAATATTTTTTTCTGATCAGTTTTACGTGCACTGAGCCCCCAAATCAATAAACTCCCCAATACCCTGGATTGAATGAAAAAAAGTTTGCTCATTAAAAGAAGTCTGGAAAAGAAAGGCTGCCTGTAGAAATTAACTTTATGAATGGGGCAGGCTGGTGTCCCCGACAAGGAATCATCTGCACAGGCGGATGAATTGGCCGGAGCAGGAGCCACAGTTAAAGGGCCAGAGCGCGAATTCCCTCCCGCGCGCCTCGCCCACCACCCCGCGGCCCCTGCGCCCGGGCCGTCCTCCGCGGCGCCCCTTTCCGGTCAGTGGAGGGGCGGGAGGAGGGCGGGGATGCGGGGGGTGGGTGAAGTCCTGGAGCGGGTTTGGGTTGCAGTTTCCTTATGCCGGCGATCCTGTCCCCTCCTCGCCAGCGCCAGGCTCCTCCCCCTCGGCGCGGATGACACTAGAACCTCCTTAAGTTGCGTCGCGCCACAGCTGTCTGCGAACACTGAGCTGCCTGGCGCCGTCTTGATACTTTCAGAAAGAATGCATTCCCTGTAAAAAAAAAAAAAAAAAAAAAAAAAAACTGAGAGAGGGAGAGAGAGAGAGGAAAAAGAGAGACGGAGAGAGCGCGAGACAGAGTGAGCCACGCAATCTGACCGAGCAGTTTCTGCTCTCAGGTCACACGCCTCCTCCTTCTCCTCCTCCCTTCTGCTCCTCGCTACCCAGGTTGGTACTGGCGACTTTTTTTAAGTTTGATTTTTTTTTTTCTTTCCATTTGGGAGGACTTTAAAACATTTTCAACTCAACGCTCCTCTTTTGGAGAGTTTCTAGACGCTGGAAAGAAGGTCCCGGGACCAGTGTCCCGGGAGGGAGGGAGTTGTCCAAGTTGGAGCCGCTCAGTCAGTCCAGGGCTCCCGGGAGAGCCAGGCTGCTAAGGATGCACTTGGGAGGCGTTTGCGCCCCGGCTGTGTCCGGGTTTTCCAAGCCCCGGAGGAGGCGTGTGCGCGCCTGTGTGCGTGTCCCGGGTGCGCGGGCGCGGGGGCCGGGCGGCTGCAGGGGAGGTGGTGCCACTTCATAAACTCAGGTGTAAAGTGCTTAGGAGCTCATCCAGGTCTCCCCCTTCTCTCCTTTGCAGGTGACCCGAGGAGAGACTCAGCCTCGGAGGCACCGAGGGGGCCCCGGTGCAGAGGAGGCTCACTTGCAGAATTCCAGCTGTCCTCGCCCCCTCTTACAATTTGGTCTCCTTTTATCCTACCGTCTCTATTTTTTGGAATTTCTTTTTTCTGTCTCTTCTCTTTGCTAAACTACCCCTCAAAGATTTCCTTTTTTTAAATCTCTCTGATCACCGTTCCTTCCCGGCTTTCCCATTCCCCACACTGAAAACAAATCATTAAACGCCCCCCGCCCCTCCGGCGGCGCGAGCAGCTGCAGAGCCTCGGAGCCCCCCGACCTCCCAGCCCGACCGCCCTCCCTCTCCGCGCGCGGGTTCCGGGCCCGGCGAGAGGGCGCGAGCGCAGCCGGGGCCATGGAGGTGACGGCGGACCAGCCGCGCTGGGTGAGCCACCACCACCCCGCGGTCCTCAACGGGCAGCACCCGGACACGCACCACCCGGGCCTCGGCCACTCCTACATGGACCCGGCGCAGTACCCGCTGCCCGAGGAGGTGGATGTACTTTTTAACATCGACGGTCAAGGCAACCACGTCCCGTCCTACTACGGAAACTCGGTGAGGGCCACGGTGCAGAGATACCCTCCAACCCACCATGGTGAGTGCGCCCTGGGCGCGGGACCCCTGCCCGGCCGCCCCGGCTCTCCCGGGTCGCGGAGCCAGGGAGGGACCTGGGGCTGGGGAGAACCAGCGAAAGCCCCCAAGTGTCGTTATTGCTTCCTTTAAAAAAATTGGGTCCCGGAAATGGGCGAGGACGGCGTCTCGCTCGTCGTGCGAGTGTGTTTTTAAAAACAGTCGCAGCAGGCGCCTCTGCGCAGCTGGTGTCCCCCGGGCCTGGCGCTCACCTGGCGGGCGCCAAGCTGCAGCCCTCTCTCCCCGCCGCCGCAGGTCGAGGGGCCTCGGGGGTCCCAAGCGCGGGGAGCCCAGCTCTGCCTTCCCGGCCACGGCTCCCCGGACCTGGCAGCCGGCGCCGGCCAAACCCGGCTCGGACTCGGCACTTTCAAAGGGCTTCGCTCCCCGAGTTACCCCGTAGTTCTTTCTGGGGGCTTCTGCCAGCGTGCCGCAGTGTGTTTCTCCTGCACATTTCCAGAAAGGCCCGAGAGGCGTATTTATTCACACTGCTGCCTTTTGACCTTCCCCAAAGCTAGTGCATTTGGTTTCTAGGCAGATCTCCCACCTCCTGGCTCTGAGGGATGGAATTCTGGTGCTTCAAGGGGTTTTGGTGGAAAGACTACTGTCTTGTTTTGAGGTTTCTTAGATTCCCGGCTGCACAGAATTTTCCTGTGTCTTTGCTTTTGTGTTGCCTCCTTGCCTGCTCCTGGCAGCTCTGGCCACTCTCTCTGCTCCGGCCTACCACAGTCCCATTAGGCTCCAGAAGATTTAGGATGCATCAGGGTTTCTTTTTATGGGGATCCCAGTTGCCTTTCTTTTTTTCTTTCTCTTTCACCTTGAGAAGTTTAGGAGAGTTCTGAAATGTTAAAAAGAAACTCAGCGCTATATAGTTAGGGGGAAAAACCTATAACGCTTTCCAGCTGTAAGTGTGTTCCTAAAGAAGAAATAGGAACAAAATTTCAGGTGGAGAAAACGAGAGGCTCTCTCATTGCAGCCAACTAGGTCTACCCTTGTCCCCCTATTTAGAGCCCGGGTTGGCGCCGATGACAGAACCCCTCCGGCAGCCGGTGTCCGCAGCCCTGCTGTCACCAGGTTTTAAACAATTGTTTCTGTGGCTGGGGCGCTCTTTGCCCTTGTTCTGTGCAGATCAGCAGTTAAGTGGAAATGCGGTAGATGCAGACTTAATATTATTTACTATACGACTTCCTGCATAATATGAATCTTGACCCTTGGTGTTCAGAGAACTCGCCTTCCCCCTCGACTCCCCTCCCCTTCCTTTCTCTTAAGATTTTAGTTTCAGTATTGTTCTTAATGGTTAAACAGAATGTCAAATGCTGAGGCAGGTACTGGATTAAAAGATCAATAAATGCGTGGATTTTCACTTGCAGCTTAAATTTACCCCTCTCAGAGCATAGGGACTTGTCTGAGTTGTGGTTCCCTTAAAACTGTGTATTTCAAATGAAGGTGCAATATCTTCTGTGTGAGTGAAATATACACAAAAACTGAAATTTTGTGTCTCAGGGGCTCAGGTGGAAATTCACATATTGCACTGATGGAATCACAACTTTGAGAGCCTATGGGGCTTATTTTATTTTCTTCTATTGGATTTGAGAGGTTGAGAAAGACAGAAAAAAAAAAAAAAAAAAAAGGATTGGGGAAGGTGAGAAAGGCAGAAAAAAAAAAAAGAATCCAGCCTTGGAAACTTTCTCCAACAGTCTGAGCAACTAAAGTTTCCTTGTCAATCCCATTTCAGGCCTTGCCAGTTATCAGCAAGCACTGAGATAGGCTTATGTGGAAGTCACCCTAAGATGCCCCCTCTCCTTCCTGCACCAGGCATGGGGAGCTGACAGAGCTGCTGGGCCTGTCCCTGGGGTCTGATGTGTTTACCTGGTGTTGAGCAGTGGTGTGGCCGGGCTCACCCCTTCAGGCCTCATCATTCACAGCCCACTCTCTTATCAGGCTGGCCGGGATTAGGTCTGGGATGGGGGACTCTGGGCCATTGAAGGAAACCAGTAAATCAAGTCAGGTTCTAGAGAGGGACCTCAGGGGATGTGATTTAGAAGGTGTATCTGGAGAGGCCGAATAAGTCAAGGGGCCCTTCTCCACTCCAAAGCAGGACCTCTTGGGTGTCAGATACAGGCCCTTAACTCCGCTGGACTTGATGGGACATTTGTGTGGGAGAGAGGGGTGAAGAGATTGTGCTGACCAGGGTACTCGCCCCTATTAGGGAGAGTGGGCCTGGCCCAAGTGGAGGCTGTGTTTGGGATCTTTCTGACAGGGACGCCGGAGTGCAGGGGAAAATCCCCAGGTGCGTCCCAGGGCTGCTCTCACGCTCGTTCCTCTCTCCTGCCTCTTCCTGTCCCCGCGCAGGGAGCCAGGTGTGCCGCCCGCCTCTGCTGCACGGATCCCTGCCCTGGCTGGACGGCGGCAAGGCCCTGGGCAGCCACCACACCGCCTCGCCATGGAACCTCAGCCCCTTCTCCAAGACCTCCATCCACCACGGCTCCCCGGGGCCCCTCTCCGTCTATCCCCCGGCCTCGTCCTCGTCCCTGTCGGCGGGCCACTCCAGCCCGCACCTCTTCACCTTCCCGCCCACCCCGCCGAAGGATGTCTCGCCGGACCCGTCGCTGTCCACGCCGGGCTCGGCCGGCTCGGCCCGGCAGGACGAGAAGGAATGCATCAAGTACCAGGTACCGCTGCCCGACAGCATGAAGCTCGAGTCGTCGCACGCCCGCGGCAGCATGCCCACCCTGGGCGGGGCCGCCTCCACGGCCCACCACCCCATCACCACCTACTCGCCCTACGTCCCCGAATACAGCTCCGGACTCTTCCCGCCCAGCAGCCTGCTGGGCGGCTCCCCCACCGGCTTCGGATGCAAGTCGAGGCCCAAGGCGCGATCCAGCACAGGTAGGAGCCCCTTCTCCCCCTCCCGCCTCCGCCTCTCCCAAACCCAGGGCGGGGGTGGGGGGAAAGGGAGCGCGCAGCCTGGCCCCCCAGGGGAGCTGGGGGTGTTCCAGCCCCTTCTGAGATGTGATCTCTTCCCGTTCTTCCAGCGGGGGAAGAGTGAGCTGTGTCCTATCTCCTTCTAGTCTTCAGAGCAGAGGGGAAGTGGGATCTAATTTAAAACCCTCCAATGAGCTGGGTAAGGAAATAAAACAAGAACAAAATACTCTGCCTGCCGGCCTGCCTGCCTGCCACGGAACTTCTGGGTTCTGCTAGGAACCCGAGTCAGCTTCCAAGACCAAATGGAAGGCCGAGGGAATAAATCTTGAGTGTTTAAGGCTAAAATGAAACCTCCTGAAGCCTAAACAAACACAGGTCCCTCCTATGACCCTCCCTGGCCTCTGGGACTGTCTGACTCTTGCTTAGCTCAAAGGGGCTCATGCAGTCAACAGAGGACAGCCCTCTAGATAGACGTGTATAAATAAACTGTGTATATGTTTTTTTGTGGGGGGCGGGATCCTGGCAAAGGCAGCACACGCATTCTTTGCGTGGCAAAGGGGGCTCTCGTCCCAACTTCTGAGAGAGAGAGGTGGGCTCATGCTCGGGGAAACAGTTGAATGGAAATCAGAAGTCACACGTGCCAGTTACCTGTAGTGGCATCTGGGGCTCCCAGCACAGGCAGGGACAGGAAGGCATCTTAGGACATTTACTTTGACTGATCTGAAGCCAGAGGAGGTAGAAAGAACTGAAAAAGATTCCCCAGGTGTGTGTCTCTGCTTCCTCTGCTCATCCTCTCTCAAAAAAAGCACACCCAGTCTAAAAGCACGCTACCTGTTTTGTTCTCTTGGGGCAGACCCTTGCATTTAAAAAAAAAGCACAAAACCCACACCAACTAGTTTTGCCTTAAAAATAAAATAATCCATCACCAATGTTGCTTCTAACCGAAGCCATCGAATCAGAGACTTCGGGATTCTCTGAGATGAGATTTAACTATATTTTTAGAGATGTTTTTGTGAAGATTGTTGTGTCTCCTTCGGTGTGTTCATTTCATGGTAGATACCTCTGCCCGGACCATTTCACTGTCTTCCCTCTGTTTATAGAGATTCTATAGACAGAGAAGTGGTGAAAATCACTTGTCTCTTATGGGCGAGATGAGCAGTCTTGAAACAGAGCTGGCAAAACCCGGGTTTAGAAAACTTCCGAGGGAGGGCTCCGGGAGCCCAGTGACTATGAGATCAGTTTTCATGGTTTTTTTCCAGGGTGACATTCACTCCGACGGCCTGGGCAGGACTGTCTCTATTTAGTTGATATGTTTTAGCTAATCCAATTATTTTCAGACTGCCGCCCGCGACAGTTGCATTGTTTATCCCGCGCCAGGAACTTTAATAGAGTCCGGATGCGGTTAGGCCAACAGAAGAACTCAGACCTGCGTGTTCAGTACATGAAAGTCGGCAGAGGGAGAGGGAGGCAGGCGAGCTGGGGGAGGCAAAGAGAAAGCAAGAGGAAGAAAGAACAGGCAGAGGACAGTGGCCACGCTGCCTTGCCAGGGGCTGGGCTTGAACATGGAGTGGAGGGTTCCAGAGAAAATGGGTACAGCTTTGCTCAGAAAAACCCAGCTTAGCTCAAGGCTTGAGGGCTGATTGCAAAGAGAACAATCCTGTGCATTTTGAGGTAGTGATGGGATTTTTTTTTAAAGTTCTCTTTTCTGGTAAGGCTCAAAGTTTGGGGCAGATCGTGGTATCTGAGGCCGGCGTGGTGGTTTGTGTGGGGGGAGGGGACAGAGCGACTTTTCCAAAAGCCTCTGGTTTCTCTGCCCTCATTTCCGTGTCTGAGTCCCCCCCCTCTGCTGTGCACATCTGAGTCCCCCCCTCTGCTGTGCACACCTTCTGCCTCCGGTCTAGTCTTTTCTTTTCTCTCATCTCTTTTCTGAGGACTCTGAACTTTTGGGGAGGGGTGGGGGGAAGAGAGGCATTTCCCTAAACCAGAACCAGGAGCACCTCTGTACCTATTTTATTATTCTTTTGGTGTGGAGGAGAGGAGAGGAGATGATTTAAATTTGGCTTTTTACTTCCTCCTTCTTATTCCTTTCTCACAGTCAAAACACCAAGGACAGCACACCTGGGCAGCAGGGAGCCGGGACTTCGGGAGTGTGGGAGCGTGGAGGGGAAGTTTCTAGACACCTTCCGTATAAAGAAGGTGTGGGAATTGGAAGTGGTGGGAATTCTTGAGGAGGGGATTCTCTTGGTTTTGGTGGTCGCTTTTTTTTTTTTTTTAACCTCTTCTTTGCAAACGTACTTGCCAAAGGAGGAGACAAGAGAAGAGAGGGTTGTCGCATTTTGGAGAAACGGTTGAAGCTGTGGTTAGGGCACCCATTGCTTTCTTAACGCCCGGGCTGTCAGTGCTGGCATAGATCTTTGCAAACAAAAGACAAAGCCTTTTTGCAAAGGGCCATTTCTTAGCTCCCCCACCTCCTCTCGACGGTGGGCATCTCCCTCCACCTCCCTCTTCGCGACCCCCTGCCCAGCCCAGTTTCAGGATTTCAGTTAGAGGCGAAGGGGTGTTCACAAAAATGGCTGTTGACTGTCAGGAGGCAAGAGGCCTCGCGGCTCTGTGGTTCTTGTCACCTAAGAGAGAGGTGTCTGTCTGAGCAGCTCACACCAGGCGGTGAGCAAGAGAGGGAAAGCAATCGGGAGACAGTGAGGGCCTCCAGTAGGAAAATTGGCTGTTGGCTGAAGTCACAGACTGGAGGCAACAAGGAGAAAAGAGAAAAAATAAGAAAAGGCCACAGCATGCTGTTGCAAACTCGCCGAGTGAATCTAGACAGAAAATTGCTCTAATGTGCAGGGCCTGGCTGCAGAGGCAGCCTGTGCAGCTTTCAAGGTCCCTCTGAAAAGGAAGCCAGTCATCCTCCCCACCCCTGACAAAGGGAAGGAAATCAGACTCATCACGTCAGGCTGGGAGATCCCCCAGCCCAGGGTGCCTAGGAGCAGGGCAGCCAGCCCCACGCCTGCCACAGCCACAGCCACAACTCCCACCTGAGCTGGGGCTGATGGCGGAGCCAGGAGCCAGCAAACCCTCCCACCTGCTCTGCCGACACCCAAGTGAGACAGGGATAAAATGGCTGGGAACCTGGGAGGCCCCTGTCTTGGCAACATGTGGTGGGCCTGGATACCCAGCCAGGTCAGGCCAGTGTCACTGCCCCTAGGAGGGGCTGACCCAGCGCCCACTTGGAGCATGGAAAGTGCAGGCCTGCCCACCGCCGGGCTACAGCTGCAGCTGGCCCCCACTCGCCCACTCGCCCACTCACCCACTCACCCTTTCCTTCTTCCTCCTTGCCTCTCCCACGTCCAGCTGACCTCCTCCCGCAGGCCTTTGACCCCAACGAAAGGTGTTTGGATGCATTTCAATCCGAAGTCTTTTTTGAGGACTAATCTACGCTGTTGGGTCTCTAGAAAGTGTGCCTGGCACACAGGGCCAGTTTTTGTAGATAATCGCAGGGCTTCTTGGAAAGCTCTCTGTAGACCCCGGGCTTAAGAACCTTTTTTGAATTTGGAGCAAAAAAATAAAATCTCTCTTAACTCCTTAAAATTTCTTTGGAAAAAGTAAAGTGCACAGAAATTACTCAGCACGGTCACGGACTCCAGTATAAAAGGAGGCAAGACGGTCTTCCATTTCGAAAAGTCCTTTTCCTTCCCCAGAACCAGTCCTTGGAGAACAGCACAGCTCACAGGTGTAACCCCCCAATTCCCTCATACTTGGTCTGGGGGTTTCCAAAGGCGGAACAGGTTCCGGGCCCCCCAAGCCCACCCTCCTTGTAGGGGGTCAAGATGCCCAAGCCCTCTGCCGGCTTCTCTTCCCTCACCCCAGACTTCCCGGTAGTTTGGGGCTAGCTGAGTAATCTCTCAAAACAGAACCACCCTTAGGGGTTCAACTTTCTCCCCCATCATCCTCCAAAACCTCCCTCCCAGCACCCCGGAAGAGAGCGAGACCCTTCCCAACCCTTCCTCTTGGGGGGACCAGCTCTGGTGGAGCCACGGCTCCTGCAGGGTCGGGTTGGGGGGCGGGGGCTCCTCTGGGTATCCAGGCTCGGTCAGCAGTGAAGCTGGTGCAGCCGTGCCTCGGGGAGAACGAGGCCCCCCAAGAGCGGGCAGGTTCTTCCAGAATCCGCCCTCCTCTTCCTCCTCCGGCCGAAGTTGAAAGAAACCACCGAGCGAACTCCCCCGTGTCCTCAGATGGTATTTGGAGGGAGTCTGTCCGGGAGCGTTCCCTCCGGAGGTGGGTCAGGTCACCCTCCCGCCCCTGAGTGAACGCTGCTCGAGCCCGGCCCGGCCGGTTTTTGTTTATTTTGTTTGTTTGTTTTTTGGAAAAAGAGCAACGCAGGCGGGCCTCGGTTAAGGAGCCGACCTAGAGGCCCCGTGTCTCTGGATCCGCTCCTCGCTCTGCCCCTCCCCACCCTGCCCTTCCTTTCCCTTCTTCCCTCCCCATCCCCAGGGTCCTTGCTAAAGGCTGCCCTGCCTTCCCTCCAACACCTTCTGGCCTGGTCCAGCTGTGGTCATAGGTACACTTCAGTCCCTCTCTCGGTGGCTGGGAAACTGTAGAAAACCTTGGCCTTTTCTAGAGAGAAAAAAGATGATGGGGAGTGAGTGGACCCTGCGTAGTCTTCATCTGTTACTTGCCAGCCAGGGACATTTACAGTATTATTGGAAGTAAAATCTAATGCCCTGGCTACTAAAATCGATCCGCCAATTGATCAATCTATTTGTCTATTTATTATCTGTTTATCTATCTAGCCATTGATGAATCTTTCCTTTTTCCCCATCCTACTCTTCATTATTTAATCAATCTGTATAGACAGACCTAGCCACGGTAATGGGTCACCTTTGTTTTCCTTTGAGGGAAGTGAATGGAATGTTTTGCTTTTGCCATCGTCCAGGGCTCAGAATTTTCTCAGGGAACAATTTCAAGTTGAAATTTGCCTTCCTCCTTGGCTCTGTTTGGTCTTCCCCATCAAGTTGGGCAGGCCCAGAGCAAAGTTCTGTTGCTATTTATTCATGGCTGCTTCTTGGGAGGGGAGCTGGACGTGGAGGGGAGTGGCTAGGCCGTGAAATAGCCTTACAGTAACTCTTTTCTCGACTTGGGAGCCATCTTCAAGGGAGGTAGGGGTGGGAAAGTTCCCCAAAAGAGGGAGAAGAGAGAAAAAAATTTCTCCATGTTACTTTCACTCCCTAATTCCCAGTGCTGGCAGCTTCTCTGTGTGTTTTCCTCCCATAAGTGACTTATGTGCAATCTTGTTTCTAGAAGGCAGGGAGTGTGTGAACTGCGGGGCGACCTCAACCCCACTGTGGCGACGAGATGGCACCGGCCACTACCTGTGCAATGCCTGCGGGCTCTACCACAAAATGAACGGACAGAACCGACCCCTCATTAAGCCCAAGCGAAGGCTGGTGAGTTGTCCCCGGGAAGCGCGGGTCTAGCACAGACCATTTTGTGTCTTCAATTTCCTCTCTTCAGGAAGGAGAGCTTTCTGCAGGAAATTGGCAGGGCAGCTCAAAATCATGTCAGCTTGTGTGGGATAGTTTTTTTTCCCTCTTCTTTTTTCAGATTAGATATACAGAAAGGCTCTCTCTTTTTTCCCTCCATATTTCTGAAGTCACTTACCACATTTTTAAGGATGCTAACTTCTTGGTTATGAAATCTGAAATGTATTTGTGGATAGAATGATTGCCTTAACAGGACAACTGATTTAAGATGCATTGATAATAACAGAGGAATTTAGTAGGAGGGTGGAATGTCCCCGGCACCATCTAGAACACGTTCCTGAAGTATGGCTGGGAATCCTAGGATTTGATTGCAGCCTCAGTGCTGTCCTAGTGCCATGGATGAGTTTCGGGTGCCAATGTTTTAAGATTGCTGGGGCCAATTAACTGGATTTCACAAGCGGCAGCCACTGAGCCTAGTGGAGTCTTTCTTCTTTCTTGCTCTTAAGAATTGAGGACTTTCTACAGGTAATTCCTGTGGGAAAAAATTTGTATGATTCCTGCCTTGCCTCTTGGTCCCACCTAGCTTTTGGTCTTATTTTCCCTTTGAACTACTATCAGTAGGGTGATTTTTTTTCCCCCTCTCTTTTCCTTTCTTAAATTTCTTGACCCTTAGGAATACTTGAGAAAACCTGGCATTGTTAAGCATGTATAAGGAAAACTAGCAGGAGACGTTCATCTGTAAACTTGTCTTTGGACTTGAGGCCAGATTGAATAGCAGGTGTCTATAACAGACAAATAAAAGCAGGCTTGGCAAATGATGAGTCTAACCACAGTCAAGAGATCAAAATGCTTTTTGTGGTGGTGACATTCACCAAGTCGAGAGGGGAGGAGGGGAATTTCCCCATGCAGATTAATGGATGAAGCAGCATCCATCCAATTCTAAGGGGAAAAAAAAGTCCTCTGTATTCTTTTTAAAGAATTGTCTTCCCCATCAGATTTTCGTGCAACTCAACACCTTTCACATCCTCTTTAGAAGAAGGAAAAACTTTCTAGGGATGAACGTGCCCATGTGACTAATTTTTGGCAATCCTCAGTCTCTAGGCTTTATTCTTTCTGATCTTTGCCCCCTTCTCTGACTTTCTCAATCTCCCTCCACCCGTCCTCATGCACTTTGGTATTTTTTTTTCCTTTCTCTCATGTGCAAAGCTAACTTCCTAGGAAAAAGCTGCCGGATATCTGAGCACTGGAGATAACTTATAAACAACGACTCAGCTCCCCCAACCTAAACATCAAGATGTTTAAACGTATCAGAACAAGACGTGTTTGAAAAAAAAAAAAATTGCTGGAGGTGTTAGCACAGAATGAATATGATCACACCACAAAAGAATGTTCTGAATCACTCAAAACCTGGCCTTAGTAAAAAAAAAAAAAAAAGAAAGAAAAGAAAAGGAAAAAAAGAAAGAAAACTAACAACAGAAAACTTCTTGTTAAAATAAGTCATGGTACTATTATAATTGGGCTTTTTTTTTTAAGGTAAAAGGAAAGGAGAAAAGAGGGGGTAAGGTGACAGACTATAGGTTGATTGATGAGCAAGAGGACATTTGACATTTTCCTGGAGTTTCTTCTCTCTGGGCAGATTGCATAGGAGGGCTTTACTTGCATTTTATATACTTTTGTCTTCATTCACCTTTCGTAAGAAATCTCTAGAACTCTGAGTAATAATTGCTTTTAATTCTGGAGTTCATTGGCTGCCGCATTTTAAGCCGTCTTTTCTTTCTTACTCATCTGTTCTGGGTGGTTTTATAATTTTAGTTCCATAGAATTCGTATGCTCCAGTGACACATTCAGGGCACATTCAGGATTTTTCTTTTATTAACCCTCAGATGTATCTGACTTCTGAATACCTAGAACTTTCTTTTTCTTCTTTCCTATGTTTCCTGTGCCTTCACCCCTGGCTTGGCCTCTCTGGTTTGCTCTTTTTGCTTTGCACATTTGCAGATTCGCTGAGGACCGCCCAGCCGTCCTGTAGCTAGCTCTTCCGTAAGATGCATATCTAACACTGAATAAACTCATGCAGGAAATAGAAGAAATGACTGAAGGGAGGATCCACAGAATTTTTTTTCCTAGTGTCGCCAGGATTTTCACATGTCTAACAACTAGCTGAGTATCTTGCTTTAGTAATGGACTTTGTGTCCTGCTAATGAACCAAAACAGTGTGGCTTGTAGAGGTTCTGTATAAATTTGCACAAAGTCTGTAGACCCGAGACCTATTCTGAGCCTGCTTGTATTCATGTCAGTGTCAGTATGTTGCGAAGGGCTGCACCATGACCCTTGTCATTGGAGCTCTAATATTACCTGTTGGCATTTTGTGCTTGTAGTACACATTCCGTGTTGTTGGGCTGGGAAATCCGGTCCCTGAAGAGATATTAGTCTACTATATCCGAGTTTTTCTTTTAAAGAAAAAAAAGTACAGGAAGATAATAATAATCACATGCTAACATAATTGTCAGAATCATTAAGTGGTGATGTTATGTATCATTTTCTTCCCAAGAGCACACAAGGGAAACAGTTATTTAAGTCTTAAATCATCACATTCCATAAAGGCAGGTGGGCATAGGCGTGTGGGGTTAGAGGCTGTCCTCTTGGACCGTGGTGAATTATTTTCAAAATGGACTGCCGAAAAGCAGAAACTTCTCAATTACCATAGGTAAAGGCTATTTTTAATTTCCAATTCCTTAGAACACAGAAAATAAAGAATGACTTAAAAAAAAAAAGGGCCGCAGCTCTGCTGTTTAAGCCTGTAGGAAGGAGGAGTGTATCTGTGGAACAATTTCGTGGCTTGAAAGGAAAGGACTCAGTCTGGTTAATTCAGAATTGCCACTGGGTTTTCCATATCTGGCATATTTGGCCCAACTTTTTGCTGGATAAAATATTGATGGAAAAGCGCACCATGACCCCTGTAGTTTTTGTTCCGTGCTTTTATAAGCATGCCAGAATTTTCATGATCACAGATAAAGACTAGCTGAATTCTTTCTCCTTTTCTTGCCTTTGATAATATTTTTGAGTCCAGGAGCGGGAACGATTTTGCAGTTAACGTTTTCTTTTTATGTTTGAGGGGTGAGGAGGTGAGAGGAGTGTATATTAGAAGTGACTCGACTCCATTTTCTTCCAGAAGTTTTTGAGTTTAACTTTTTTTTTAAAAGTAGGGACATAGAGAATAGTCCCCTTATCAATGTCAGTACATCAAAAAGTGAAAGAAAAATCTCCCTTTTAAAGGAAATGACACAATCAAATCATGAAAATTCAAGTGGAGGCTGACATCTGACCTGTGACTATTCTGCTCCGTGAGCAGCAAATAGAAAATACCTAATTTCAAGAAGGTGAAATGAGACAGAGCAGGAGGAGGGGCCTTTGTTCCTGTTGAAAAGCAAAATTCCTTGTTCTTTTCACTATGTCTCATTAACTGAAAGCCACCTAAAGAGAATGAGGGTGGCTGTCAGCATGAGTGACAAAGTTTGAAAGTGACCGAAGTGTGGGCTGTGTAAGTTTAGGACCGATGCAAATTTTCCAGGGTCTTGTTCATTTATGATGTCCTGTTCAGTGTGCCCTAAGTCATACACCTCCTGAGTGCCAGCCACACACGTGCACAGACGTTCTCTATTCTATTCTCTTTACAATCCTGCGTTTCTTTATTTGGGATCTATGAATGATGCTTGGGTTTGCTCTCCCTTGGCTGTTAGTATATCGTGATGGCTTAGCCTTGCTGAGAATTGATATTCTTGGCGAGTCAAAATTGCTACCTACAAAAATTTAACATCCAGTGAACTTTGTGGAAAGGGAGCAGGAGGAACGTTATCTCGGAGAGGCGCATCGGCGTTCTGATCCTCCCGAATTCCAGCCGGGAGAACAGCAGGCTACCTTCTGGCCACTTGACTGCAGTCTGACGCGCTCCTATGCCAGGGGATCGGCTATCTTTTTCTTCTTGAGGTAGCTTTTGGGGATCTTTATTACTTTCTTGTGGGCCACGTGCTAGTTTTGATTTCAATGATAATTTCTTTTCATTTTTTTTTTTTTAAAAGTCTTGCCTTCGTTGTTCTGAAAACACATTGAACATTTGTTTTGGTTTTACCCTCTCTCTCTCCCCCCCACTCCCAGTCGGCAGCGAGAAGGGCAGGTACGTCCTGTGCGAACTGTCAAACCACCACTACCACCCTCTGGAGGAGAAATGCCAACGGGGACCCTGTGTGCAACGCGTGCGGGCTGTACTACAAGCTGCACAATGTAAGTGTCTCGGGGACCAGCCAGTGCCGTCTCTCTTTCTCACGATGCCCAGAAAGAGCATCCGGCTTTCCAGGTCCCCTTCCTCTTTGGAATCGCCCTCCTTTGGGCCAAATAGCGGGCCTCAGATAACCAACGCAATAGGACCCAGTGTACTTCATACAGGGTAGCCTTGCTGAGACTGAGGGGTTTCAAGACAGGACCAGCCAGCCCCCTTAGTATGTATGGGAAAAACTGCAAGGCAGAGATCCCATACACAGGGTGGGCCTGCCCTGGGTTTTAAAGGGAAAAAAATCTTCCTCTTGGAAAACAAGAAAAGTCACCGTTTCTATTTTGATGTTTCCTTACATCTTAAACTTTTTGCAAAAAAGAGAAGGAGAGTAAGCGAGAGAAAGGTAAATAGAATTGTAATGCATGGCACACAAATTCCTGAAGCAGAGGGACCCGTTGAGTTACTGAGGGGAAAAAAGTCTTGGCTTAACTTGTGCTGTGAATTTTAAATGGATTCTCTGTATAAAAGAGCTGAAATGAAATGTCAGAGAGATTTCATCTGATGTCTTTGTCCTAACCAGCAGAGAATGGGGGAAAGCCACCCAGGGAGGTTATCCAGACCAGGGAAAAGAAACTTTGTATATTCTCCTTCTGTATCATAACTAGCAGGCTGATAACCGCCAGCCAGTCATCTGGGTTTAGCTGTGTCATTCTTCATCTTTTAATTTGGGGTCCTTCCTTAAAAAATTTTTTCAGGTATTTTTTTTTTCCTGAAACAACTCTGGCTGACGGGCCATGACACTAATGAAGCCTGAAGTTGATGTTAATCCCAAAGGAAGAAGTGTCATTTCTCTCTCTGTCTCTTTGTCTCTCTGTGTCTCTCTCTCTCTTCTTTAGCTTTGTCTGATTCTCCTAAAGTCTCTTTGCCAGTCTGACTTTGGCAAAGTCTGGGGCTGAACGGGGAAAAGCCAGAGCTTTGGGCTCCCTGCCATGCTGGCAGTCACCTCCTCTTACTCAGGAATACCTGGGAATTGGGGAGGAAGCTTTCCCGGTTAGATTTTTTGAGTCACAGGAGAACTTCTCACTGTCATTCCAGGACCCTAGTTCTTTTTTACCTTTTGGGAATAAGTTGCTGCAATTCCCAGGGACCCTGTGAAACTCGTCTCCCTGCCTTCGGTGTCATCTGCGCTTGACACGGTCCCCGTGCAGGGCCCAGCACTAATGAATCTAGGGTCTCACTGCAATCAGTTATTCTCCCTCAGATCCTCAGACTGTGATATATATCCATTTATCAGCAATGACACCGAAGTCCCGTTTTCACTTTGGGGAATTTACTTGCTCACTGCAGTGGAGATAAACAGATTTGTGATTAAAATCTGGAAGATGTGAGGCATTTGAGTTTAGGAGCTACGCAGTTGTCGGCACAGCCTATAAAATTATTTTGAGGTTGTAATTTGAGGTTTTCAAAGAACTTTCCTGTTAATTACATTTGAGCCTCAAATAGTCCCAGGATGTAGACAGGGCAGAAATTATTTTTATTTCCGTTTTACTTGAAGAAATTGTGACTCAGAAGCAAGTAACTAGTGCAAGGAAACAGGAGGATGAAGTGGAGGATCCAGGAGCGATTTCAGAGTAGCAGAAGGCCATTCTGTGAGGTCAGTAGCGTTAGGACTAACAGGGACCAGGGTGAAGTAAACACTTTCTCATTTTAGAAATATGCCAAAGTTCAATTCAAAGTAATGGATTGTGTGTGTGTGTATGTTTCTTTCCTATTTCCATAGAAGTATCAGAATTATGGGAAATTAACCAGCTGTAAAGTTCTTTGACTACTTGATGAGATCTGATCATCAAGTCGTGATGAGATATGATCTCAATTGTGTCCAATCTAAAAGAAAGTATTTCTGAAGACTATGAATTTATCATCAAATCAAAGAAAAGCCAAGGAACACCCCCACCCACCCCCCACCCACCACTCACTTCCACCTTATTCTGAATTAGCTCTCGACTTCATAGCTGGGCTCCAGGGGCTGGGAAAGAGAAACCTGCTCATCAACAAGAGTGGTTTTGCTGTCTTCTCTGGTTGAGTAAGAATTCACAAAAGGAGGTGATTTATGTGCATTTAACAATAAGAGATAATAGTCTATTAACATTCTCATGGTGTTGTGTTGTGTGCTGCCCTTCTAGTTACCTACACATGTATGCCATAAGTTAGTTCCTTTCTTCTTATCTGGGTGTTTCGATAACTACCTATCTCAGTATCAGTGTGTCCAGGTGGTGTTGGGACTAGTTATCTGGGTTTGTGTGGCTATCTGTGTAACTAGATATTATATTTAGATATCTGGCCATGTATATCTAGATATCAGCGTAGAGAACTGTGTGTCTAGACATTATCTTGGGGAAGATTTGATGTGACAGTAGATTCCTATCGCCTCTGTAGGCTGTGTCTTTATCTTGATTATAACTTTGAAGAAGGAACCCTGAGATGTTCTTTTGGCAGTGACCTTTTACTTCTTCTGCTGTCACACTGCTTTCCTGCACAGGGGGAAATCAGCTCTCAGCTCCAGTGTGGGGCTCTGTGCCCCTCTCCAGGGTGACCTCTCCCAGCTTAGCTCCAGGCAGCTGTGTGTTTGCTGCTCCAGAAGCATTGTCAACAGCCTGTCTCTCTTGGGCCATTTGGATTCTCTCTTCCTTAACTGTCATTTTCTAGCTTTGGGGGCAGATAGGTAGATCCTGGAGCTGTGAGAGCCTCTTCTCTTTCTCTACCCTCGAGGACCCTAGAGGGAGAGGATGCTTCTTTCCCAAGGAGTCAGAAATGACTGAAAGCCTGACATGCCCTCTTCGAGTCTCTTGGCCACATCTCCCTGGAAATGTGGCTGGATGTGTGGTTTGCTATATGGGACAGATGTCTGCTATTGAGGTTAATCTGATTCTGACTCCTTGTGGGGGAGTGGTCTCTGTTTGCTTTGTCAAGTCCCCTCTCTTGATTCTGCCCCTCCCAAAGCCAATGTATTTTAAAGATTTTATTTATTCAGTTTTTTCCCCCCAAAGCCCCAGTAGATAGTTGTATGTCATAGGTTCACATCCTTCTAGTTGCTGTACGTGGGACTCGGCCTCACGTTGGACGGAGAAGTGGTGCCTCAGGGCGCTCCCGGGATCCGAACCCGGGCCGCCAGCATCAGAGCGCGCGCACTTAACCACTAAGCCACGGAGCCGGCCCGCCAATGTATTTTAAAAACAGAACAAATGAGGCTTATCAGGAGGAGAAAGATGCAGTGCTGTCTCGGAGACTGAAGACTAGTGATGCTGAGAGTTGACGCTTGCCTCTGTCTCTTTCGTTCATTCCTGGTCTTCGATTTTTAGGAGAGTGCTTTTAGGCTAGCACAGTACTTTGCACCCCATAAATCGGTATTAAATGCTTGTTGATCGGTGGTTTGGTTGTTTATCTAGTTAGAAGGGGATAGTCAGAATTAGGTGGAAATTGCAACTTTCAGTCATTGCAGTTGCTGTGACATGGGCAAGAGATGACCTTTTGGAAAGACACATTGTATTAAAATACGACCCCAGGGGGCTGGCCTGGCGGCGTAGCAGTTAAGTTCCCGTGCTCCACTTCGGCAGCTCGGGCTTCGCGGGTTTGGATCCTGGGTGCGGACCTACACACTGCTCATCAAGCCATGCTGTGGCGGCATCCTGCATACAAAATGGAGGAAGATTGGCACAGATGTTAGCACAGGGACAATCTTCCTCAAGCAAAAATAAATAAATAAATAAAATAAAATACAACCCCAATTCCAGGGGAAGATTTTACAGCAACTCTCATTGCAAAAAGGCCAAGTAGAAGAGAGGCAACCAGAAGTTACTTTGAAGAGGGATGTAGTCCTTGTTTCTGAAGGCAGGTAGACTTACACACTTAAGATCCATTACTTTGGTAGTGCTTTTAAGGTCCTAACACAGGTTTCAGATGAGAAGACAAATGTTATTTCCCTCTTGAAGATTACCCAGTTGCCTCCATGTTCATGAAATAGTCTAAGGAAATTCCAATGAAATAAGACAAGTTATTATATTTTCATTATTACAGAAATACAATCATAAGGGGTGGGTCTCTAGAATATGGTCCTTGGGAAGACAAAGTTCCGCCCAAATGATTGGGGTGGATGAACATAATTAATAACCCCTGCCTGGAAGACCTCGCCTATGGTCTCTTCTTTGTGAAACTGATAGAGGCTGACAGTCGGAGCCCTGCTGCAGACCTAGCCTGCAGGAATCACGGTCCGTGGGAAGGAGGCAAGACGAGGTGGGAGGAAGGGGCCCCCTGAAAGCAGATCCCTGATCTGGGGCAGTCAGAGGAGCCCGTGTTGGGGTGTGAAAGCCTGCACTGTTTCAGAGCCAGCAAAAAAGTAAAAAAAAAAAAAAAAATTGATCTCTGTTTAGATTAACAGACCCCTGACTATGAAGAAGGAAGGCATCCAGACCAGAAACCGAAAAATGTCTAGCAAATCCAAAAAGTGCAAAAAGGTGCATGACACGCTGGAGGACTTCCCCAAGAGCAGCTCGTTCAACCCAGCCGCCCTCTCCAGACACATGTCCTCTCTCAGCCACATCTCGCCTTTCAGCCACTCCAGCCATATGCTGACCACCCCCACGCCGATGCACCCACCGACCAGCCTCGCCTTCGGACCTCACCATCCTTCCAGTATGGTCACCGCCATGGGTTAGAGGCCCTGCTCGATGCTTCCAGGTCTCCAGGCGAGAGTCCCTCCAGCCCCTTCTACGTGCATTTTTGCAGGAGCAGTATCATGAAACCGACAACCGATGGATATATGTTTTCGAAGGCAGGAAGCAAGATGCTGTTTGCCACTTCCGCAGAGGAGCTCACTGTGGTATCTGTGTTCTCCATCACCGAATCTGGATCCCATTTGTGAATAAGCCATTCAGACTCATATTCCCTATTCAACAGGGTCTCTAGTGCTGTGAAAAAAAAAAAAATGCTGAACATTGCATATAACTTATATTGTAAGAAATATTGTACATTCGGAGAAGACTTTATTGCATCTGGGTAGCTGTAAGAAAGGCATGAAGGATGCCAAGAATTTTAAGGAATATGGGGGAAATTAAGTGTGGAAATTGAGAAGAAACTAGTCTGATATCCAAATGGACAAACTGCCACTTTGGTCTCCTTTCACTGGCCACAGGTGGTCGATGCATTAAAAGAAAAAAAAAAAAAAAAGGAAAAAAAAAAAGAAAAATGTCGTAGGCAAATCATTTGTTCAAAGCTGTGGGCCTCTGCATAGGAAATTCTATCAGTTCCGGGGGATCCGTGTTAACACGCACACGTTAACACCTGTCCAGGCCTCCACGCTGTATGAACAAGTCCTTGTAATTGTTGTTTGTATGTATAATTCAAAGCAAAAATCAGAACAGATGTAGATTTATTTCATCATATTATACAGACTGAATTGTTGTACAAATTTATTTACTGCTAGTGTTAAGAGCTGCTTTTTTTGTTTTAATATTTTCCTTCTCTCTCGATTTTTGGTTGAATAAACTAGATGCTATTCAGTTGACCTAAGGTGGTTGTGCTCTGGAGGGCTTCTTTTCCATTTTGTTTTCTGAGGATATTTATTAAATAGCTTCGAAGGGTACAGCGCATCTGTTCTTTGATTCTCTCCTCCCACAGCCTGTGCTATGAGGGTAGCGGAGTATGAGCTACCATTGTGCATGTCAGCGACTTAGGCTGGACGGACTGGGTCCTGCGAGCAGCCTGGCTGATTGTTAGCTCCTGTTGTGTTCTGTGTTAGTGATCACTGCCTTTAATACAGTCTGTTGGAATAATAATATAAAAATCGTAATCAAGTGAAAATATTTTAAAACAACCAAATAACATCGTATCAAAGTGGTGGCTAAGCTCTTATAGAATCTGGTAGGTCTAGCTAATTTAAGAAAAAGGAGCTTAAAAAAAAACAAAAACAAATCCCAAACGTGTTAAGTTATTCACTAGGAGATAATGCAGACCCCAGAAGAGTCACCATTTATTCCTGTGGGAAAGGGAGCATCTTTGAGCTCTCTATTCAGCCTAGAGGAATGTAGCCTGGGGCTGGAGTCCCTTCTGTGTCCCTAGTGAGCTGCGGTTCCCTCCCCTTGTGTTCCTCGAGTACGAAGGAGAAACAGGAAGGTTTCCTGGGTGAGGTTCACAGGCGGACTGCGGCGGGTGGATTCCTCGTGGTTCTCTGCAAGACGTAAAGGAGCTAGGCTGGCTCTCGAGTTCATTTCTGGTTTTCTTTTTTGCTGCTGAATTGAATAACACCACAGTGGAGGGTTTTATTGGAATGTTTGCGAAACATGAAATAACCGTTTTGTAACTTATGCTGTATAGTTTCCTTTTACTCTGTTGACAGAAGGTGTAACTATGACACACATTTTAAAATCTCTGTTAATCGCCTCTCTGCTTTCCTAGCAAATATTTTAAACCTAAAGCTAAATGTTGAAATAAAGGAGTAGAGAATTACTGAGATGCAAATGGAGATCTTCCTGGCTCCTGATTCATGATCCACAATTTGAATGTTGTTTTCAGTCACTTTTGAAGCACCAGAGGAAATCATCATCTATTGCCATCTTAAACTTGGGAGATTTTGCTGGATAGTTCCAATGTCTCAGGATTTGCCACCTCTTTTCTTCATGAACATTTGAGTTAATGCCCTTTCACCTTAAGAACAGGGAGTTCAAATTCTTGACATTCTTGGGGTGGGAGGGTTGGGGGGGCACATGTAAAAAAATCCCAAACTCGGTACTCTAGCTGCATTTTGTTTTAGATACCATAATGATAATGGCATATTTGATCCTATTCCTTCTTCAGAGAAATGTCATTTTATCATTTTGTGCATTGATTTGACACTCTAAGATATTTCTAGAAGATGATGCAAAAAACTTTAAAAATATATATGTTAACAATGGTTCAGTTTCTTCTTTAGAACGTTGCCATATATTTTCATGGCTTTGTTCTTTTCTCTTCATTTAAAAACATAAGACACTAGAAGAGCAATGCTAGAGAGGGTTTCATCTACACAAACATAACAAGATTGTAGATCTTAAATATTGCTCAAATATTTTTGAGTAAATTGTACCCCTATCAATTTTCAATCTCTTCTGCCTCACTTTTGAAATAGTTGCATTAGCTCGTCCATAGGAGATTACTTGAGAAATATATGTGCAGATTTGGGTTATTTCTTTACAACATTTTAAAAGCCAACATATAGAAAAAATAAACTATGTAGTTATTGAACAGTTTTGCTCTTCATAAAGTCCTCTTATCTGACAGTAGAAGTGCATGAAGTAAAAATTTTGAATTTGAGGGCTTCTTTCATTTATTCAACAAATACCTGTTGAGTGTCTAGGTTGAAGTCCATTTAAAACCACTTTAAAAAAAACAGCAGATCAGGAAATAGAAAAACCAAGACACCAGTGTCTCATTATTACTTTGTGACATTTACATGTTATTCTTTAAAAAGAACTACGTGAACTGTGGTGAGGTTCCCAGTGGGGCCTCTGGGTTAGTTGCCAGGCAGACAGAGGGTGACAGAAGTGGGGACCCCAGAGTGTGCCTTCTGAGATTAGTGTCTATTTTCTAAACCTTTCTAAGGGTTTAAAATGATTTTTAAAGCTTCCTCCTCATCACAGAGCTTCATTTTGATAATTCCTAAGTCTAGAACTGTGTGAAGGGAGCAAATTCTCCCCAGGTACTTCAGGTCTGACCTGAATTTAGGAAAACACCTGTTCACAAAATTCAAAAGTGCAAACTCAGATGCCGTCCATTCCTGCCTCTGATAATTTCCTCACAATGGTGAATTGTCCTATTTACATTTCAAAGATTTAGAAGAATTATTACTCCAGGTTCTCTTGTTCCATCCCGCTGCCCTCAATGCCAAATCCACCCCCAAATTTGGAACCATTTTTGTCATCTTTACCAGACAGCAATTGTTATTGACTCCTCTGTAGGTAAATTCCCTTCAATTCCAAGCTAAGGAGAGATTTAAAAAAAAAAATTAGAAAATAATTAAAAGATAAAAAAAAAACAATATTTGAACGATAGCATATTATAGTTTTATCTGCAGAACGAAAATTGTAACCGTTTTCTGAAACAGCTGAGTAAAACATCAACCCTTTTCTGCGCTTTCAAATGAAATGAACTTCTGAAAAACATTTTCATTTTGTTTATTCTATCTTGCTCAAACGGTGTGATTACACCTCAGATTGGACTTGTCCACATCCTTTGCAAAAACCCAGTAAAGGGAAAACCCCAGAATTCAGAGAAATATTTGAATGTGTGATGACAACTGTCCTAGTAGGAATCTGAGAACTTGGGCTTCATCCCAGGCTCTGTCACTCATGACCAGACGACCTGAGGCCGTTTGTTTAATTTCTCTGGAGTCCGCTCTTGAGCTATATAATTAGACAAGACGCTCTCTAAGACCCATTTGAGAAGACATATGCCATGATTCCCTCGGATTTCGTTTGCTGTTGTTGAGAACATGCATTATTAGAAGGATGTCCTCGCATTCCCTGTCAGAATTTTGACCAGGGTGTTTTAAAGGCCTTGGTGACGGTGGTTCAGCAGATTCAGGGGTAGGTCCACTCCCATCTGTCCTTAGGACTATCTTTTGAAACAAATTAACTTGTATTTGTGACTGTCAACCCAGGACAGGAGTTAGTGTCCCAGCCTGCAGATTCCCTGCTCTTTCTGAAATGTGTCCAGGCCCCTCTTGAGTGGAAGACACAGGACTGGCCTGTCCTGCTGATGTTGGCAGCGTGGTTCATATTTCACTCACCCATTGTGTAAAGAAACTCTGCCTGCATTGCTGACAGGCTGACCTAGGGAGACAGCCAGAGTCCAGTCTTTCTTTTCCCTTGTGCCCTCTCTCTCTTTCTCTTTGGAGAAGGGGGTCAACGGAGAAAGTGGATCCGTGTTCCCCAAAGCTGTTCTTTTCAGGGTGCTCTATTCGCACTCTGACATTTCCAGGCCCTTCCTCAGTCTCCTTTGCAGGGGATCCCGGTACATTAGCCACATTGTTTGTGGTGCGTTTTCACAATCCTCTGTCATGTCTGTGTGCAGTTTGGCAGGCTGTGCATTGGAGTGGGGATTTGGAGAGCGGGCCCACTCCCCCCACCCCTCCCCCTGCCCTTGCTGCCCAGCCCCCATGGCTAAACAAAAGGGGTGCATTATAGAGCACTCATCTGTGCTGCCTGGGCCCCTGCAACAGCCCCAAAGATGTGTAAACACCTGGAGGCGAATTCACGTTCCTAAGGAAGCAGTTCTGGGCCCAGCGTTGTGCAACTTAGGGATGTAGTGTGGAGACGCACAAGACGACTGGCTCCCGGCACCAGCTCCTAATTCGGTGCGTTGGACTGAACTGAACCGGCTGCAGAAAGATTTGGATGGTGTCTGCACGGTGCCTAGACCTCCACATGATGGACTAAGAAATCAGCCAGTCGGGTTTCTCTTTCTTTGGCCCATGGGCGTAAGAAACTTCCAGAAAATGAAAATTTTGTTTTCTATCTTTGTTTTTTCTGGTTATAAAATTAAAGACTTGTTGACCAAACTTGTAAAGTACTCCCCAAATTTTTTTAAAAAGAAGAGAAGAAGTAGGATTTTGGGGGTTGCTGTTGAATTGGCCATGTGCAGGCCTGTCTTTTGAATAGTTGATCTTGGATCCTTTAATGAATCCAATGGCCCTGGGGTGGGGCCTCGGGGGTGCTTGAGTAGAGCATTTGACTTTTGAGGGTCATTAAAACTCCATTTCATGAACTGGAAGGGCTTAAGTAAAACCCTCCCTGTGGAGGCCCTCTCCCTTCTTGTTGTTAGGCCATCTCCACTCCCTTTTACTGGGACTGTCTTTCACAGCCATACTAAGGACAGCTGTGTACCTCTTGAGCAATGACAACAAGCAGCTCTGAACACATCAGCCCCTTCAGCCACAGCCCCACCCACAGTCACTGCCGACTCTGAGCTGAAGTGGCCTGGATTCCCCTTCACTGACAAGCCATAATCCTGAGTCAGAAATTCTCCTCTGAGTCTTCCACTGCGGGCAAACCATTCCTGGGCTAGGCACACAAGTGGACCGATCTGTTATAAACTTAAGACCCAAGTGCACGAAGCCATCCTATTCTTTACTTTGAATATTTTCAGGGCTCCCTTGTTGTGGAAAGCTGGGTCTCCTTCAGAGAATTCCAAATTTCCCAGAGGTCAACTAGTTGGGTTCACTCTTCTGAAGACCCCAGCTCCTGACAACTGCCTGGAACCATGGGGCTTCCCAGAAGGACGGGGGACTGTCATTTGTTCAGTCTGACCCTCTGGGCTCACAGGATGGTGAGAGGACTCAGGAGGAAATGGGCAGGGAGGCAGTTGTACAATACGCAGCGGCTACCCAACAAAGTCATGACCCATCACACCATGAAGAAATGGTAGCCAATGTTTCTACTGAGCATATCCTGTGTGGAAGGCAAGGTGGTAGGCTCTTCAAAGGGATTTTCTCACTCGATTCTCAGAAAAACCCTGTCAAGTGGGAAGATTATTATCCTCATTTATGGATAAGAAAATTGTGGAGTAGAGAGGGCAAGTAATTGGCCCAAAGTCACACATCTGGTGAGTGGATCTGCTGAGACTTGGACCCTGCGGGGTGCAGAGCCTGCCCCTTGATGGAAGGTCAGCCCCATAATGAGCAGCCAGCTCTGTTGTGCTCATCATGGAAGCTCTGTGAGCAGCATGTGCCTGGCACAGAAGACACGCTCAATACATTTTGTTGGATACACGATTGACCGTGCTCTGCTGCTTTGAACACATACGGGTCCCTTTCTCAGAGGAGAAATAGAAATCACTCATTAGACACCGTGGCTTCCAATCTGACTGCGTTTTGGTTGGGTGGTAGAAGTTGGGGGTGTGTAAGGTGGACAGGATGTGTTGAAAGTTCCTTAGAGCGCTGATAACAGATCCACAGGAACACCGAAATCCTTGGCTTCTAGGCAAACTCTTCATGAATGTCAAGTTCAATGTCTCTATGAAACCCAAATCTGTATTAGTTTCTGACTGCTGCTGTAACAACTTACCACAACTTCGGGGGCTTCCAACAGCACAGATTTATTCTCTTATACTTCTGGAGGTCAGAAGTCTGAAATCAGCTCCACCGGGCTAAAGTCAAGGTGTCTCAGGGTTGGTTCCTTCTGGAGGCTCTGGGGGAGCACCCATTTTCTTGCCTTTTCTACCTTCAGGAGGCCTCCTGCTTTCCTTGGCTCATGGTCCTTTCCTGGACCACTCCCATCTTTTGTTTCCATCATCACATCTCCTACTCCTCTTGTCAAAATCTAGTAGCTGTCCCTCACCCCGCATAAAGATATGGTTTAGAGGTTAGATAGGAGAAAGAATCCTATTCCCTCCCTCTCTGGAGTTAGGTGTGCAACAGGAAACTGGGAAGTTTTTCTCCTCTGCGAAGTTAACAAGTCCTGACTGGAGACAGGGCCACCATCTTG